AAAAATAACTCATACTTTTTGATAAACTAAAAGTATAATTAGGTTTTATTTTAGTAGTTTCATAATAATAATATTATAAGCACATCAATGTGATTACATTATGTTATAAAATTAGAATTACGATACGACCGTGAACCTATGATCTGTTTAATAGAGGTGATAAGAAACTACTTATGTGTTGTGTCGACCAAATCCAATAAATAATATACAAATGTGAGCTAAAAAAAGATACAAAAGAATTAACAATACACCTTAACCAATTCTTAAAAAAATATCGTCAGTGTAACCAGAGGGCGGCAGTCATAGTTTCTTTAGGTTTAACAAGATCGTAATGTCACCGCGTTTGACCCCAACATAGCGTACTTCTGTATATAACAGAAGTGTAAATAATTAAAAATAAATAAAACATCAAAAGTTGAAGAAGCAATGGCTGTAAAATTGATATATTAGCAGTCAACTTCAATACTAATAATTTTTGCTTTAGTTGGTCTTCACTCGTGTTGAGTGTCGTGGTGGCCCGGAGGTTTAAGACACCTGCTTCTCATGCATGAGGATGAGAGTTCGAAACCTACCTAGAGCAAGTACCAATGTGACGTTTTCCGAGTTATATGTACATTTTAAGATTATTTAGACACCCAGTGGTGTCTAAAAAACGGTGAAGAAAAACATCGTGAGGAAACCTGGGCTTATAATTTCTAGTTATAAAGTTTGAAATCGCTAATCCGCATTGAGCAAGCGTGGTGATTAACGCTCTAACCCTTCTCCATGTGAAAAGAGGCTTTGCTCAGCAGTAGGCATTTATAGGCTGTTAACGATGATGGTCTTCACTCCCGCGTGTGCTCTAAATGGATAAGGAGTAAACAAATACTTAAACTTTAAAGTAGAAAGTGGTAACCGTTTATACTTTCATATGCGTTAGTTATTAAAATACATTCAATCAACTATTCAGTCCCTGCGCTGATCACAAACGTCTTGATCAATTCCCTCGCCTATATATTCCGCATTTCCGCATTTCGAGATTCAAATAACGCTAATCACAAGTAATTTGATGCTCCCTAAGGAGTTTGGGGGTAGCCAGAAATGGTCATAAATATACACATCAACTTTTTACTAGTTATCATTAGCGTGACATAATAAATGGTGTAAACTTTCACCGTTACAAGATTTTGTTAGACTACGTGGAAAAATCTGGTGTCTAGCCAACTAACGTCAGTTCTATTAGGTAGTTGGTTGATATTAAAAATAATTTGTTTACTGACCATTTACAAAAATTAACCAGCACATAAAAAGAGCGAGAATTTATTAGTGTAAGAGGCGATTAATTTGTCTTAGATGCATGGTAGAGATAAGTTGTGGTCAAGAAGGATCGCCTACCTCGAACCCTCAGGACTCCCTGTTGTTATCTACAGCTGCTGGGATTAACCCGTGGTATCGGGAACGTAGATATACGCAAGACACAATGTATTTTATATTGTGTCTCATATCCCGGCAGTACCGGCACTATAGAGGTTAAAGAAACCTAACCAATCTGATCTAGGAGTGACCCGTGATCAGAGTATGCCTACTTTTCTAGTTTGAGTCCAGCATATTATAATTTATTATCTATAAAGAATTCTAATGATTAGTATGCGCTTCTCATGCATGAGTATGTATTTTCTAAGATTACTTATACAACACTGATATAGGTACGGTGAAGGAAAACATCGTGAATATATCTGAACTTGTAATTTTTAATTGTACTCTCTGAAATCGACAACCCGCATAGAGCAAGAATGATTAATGCTCAAAGATTCTCTGTCTGAAAAGCGGGATATAATGACATGGCGGATTAATCATATAAATATACTGAGAACAACTCTACTAGTTTCGAGTTACAAGGAGACTCTTCCTCTTGAGTAGCGTGTTAGGATGCAGCGATGTCTACTCCCTCACTATATAATATACGTAACCCGTCATTTAAGTTAATTCCGTATGTCTCACGATATTTAAAAATAGAATAGGCCTTTGCTCAGCAGTAGGCACTCATAGGCCGATGAGATGTGATGCGTATTCTAATCTAATGAACTAATGAAGTTCATAAGCGTCCCTTAGAGAATGGCTGAGGGATGCGGTGGACAGCGACCAGATTTTTTTTTTAAGGGGGAAAATCATCGAATGACTGCTCCCGCCTGGGTGAGGCGAGAGGGAGTGTCAGACTCTTACTGACTAAAAACCACCCCGTTCTATGAATCCTAAGATAAACGAGATCCTAAGATAATCCTAACATATACAGTAAATAATTAAGGTATACGTCGTAACTTCGTAAATTTATAATAATTTATATGCCGAAAAATTGAGGCTACACAATTAAAATGGCCATGAAAAAATGTTATAAGTATCTCAAACAGCTGTGCTCTTCGTGTACCAACATTTCTTTTAAATTTCAGTCACTGTATCCCAAATGTAAATCCCAAGTAAATCTACTTACATCAATGTTTCCAACTAATGTCCAACTTTTGAATCTATTCTCCACTTTAATGTTAGCTAAGCAAAAAAATTTGCTTTTACTTTTACTCCTATTTGACAATAACACTATAGAACGTGTTTGTCAAACTTTTGATTGCATTGTAATCTTGTATTGATAAATTTTTCATCGCTCTGATTTCATATCATATAAATAATAGGATCCCTTCCCTGCTTAGCACAGCTATTACCTAATCCACAACTTCCCAGTCAAACTTTCAAATAATAACTACAGAATACGTCTATCAAAATAGACGTCAATTAGTTTGAATTGACAGGTAGCCGGCTACAGCGGCCCGGCCCAGTGCAGATTGAACTGCTGTTTTCAGATTTACTGGAAGAATTTTCCGCAATGTTCCTTTATAAAAACTTTTTCTTTCTATTTAACTATACACGGAATGTTACTTCTTGATGACGATATATCCGATAAAGCTCAACTCACTTAATTTCAAGAAGTTATACATAGTACATTCTTCACTGGATTTAGTGTTACTAAAGTTTACTTCTGTATCACGCACTCAACTATTAAGTAAACAGATAAAAGTACAAAAGAGAGAAAGAGATACATTACATCTTCATCACTGTCGCTCAGGCAAGGAAAGCACGAAAAGCAAGAAGAGCACGAACCCATTTTTTGTGAAAAATCTAAGGATGATCACAAACTTTCACTAAAACTTTAAGTGTATCAATGTCACTGGGAGCAATTCCTCTCCAAAGCGATCCAAAGGGAACTAAACCATTAAGGCAAGATGCAAAACAAGAAACCTAGCTTATACAGGGTGGTACAAATATGAAATAATACTTTGTGTACAAGAATCATGGGTATGAAACATTGTTACAGCCTCCAGTAGTATTTCGTCTCTAGACTGGATATTTTCCACTTGTTAGGCTTCAAAGTTTCCAAGAAATCATTACGGTGGAGACCCAGGTTACAATTCATTAAGATTAACAACATTAACATTAAAACTTGTAACCTAATTTATGTATATAAACTATTCTGTCACATCACGCATTTTCCGTAACACTTTTATTAAAAAATCAGACGAATTGGTACTTTTAAACCCTTAACTTAGATATTTAACTTATTCACATTTTGTAACATTAATATCTGCAACTTTAATTTAATCACGCTGTATAAGCTCGAATCTAAGTAGGGGTCAATCCAGAATATTGAGCGAAGTAACTTAAAAAGCCATAATACAAGAAACCTGTTATTATTAAGAGCCCCAAAATGAACCACGTACTTGGTAAATTCATGAGAAAAATTGCATACATGGATATCTGGCACAAAAGATGACCATGGACTTGCCCCCTAGAGACTGCGTTAAAAGACGTTAAAAGAAAGTATTCGGTATTCAACAAAGTCGAGGTGCAACTTCTCCTTTAATACATTAGTATTCCCACGATAAACTTGTGGCACGCGACTATATAAATTATTATTGACGAGCTACAATGAATTAAGACATTTTCTAAAGATGACCTTGGTCTTGAAGGAATAAAGAAAGTTCGTTGAAAGCGAATCAAACAACCCTTGCGAATGCAACGTATTTTGCAAACTTGAGCTAGTAACGGCGTGATTTATTATGCAGGATATATCTGAAGGTGCTGTGGTTTAAGGTGTTATTATTCCTATAGGTACCCGTTTACATTACCATCTCTTACATTTTAACCTCTAAGCTAAACTAATTAACACTAAGTAACAGTTTCATTTTCATCAATGAATAAGTGACGCTTATGGTGAAATAGAATTCTCTTAGTTAAGAGATGTTTTTTTTTTTTTTTAAGGGGGGAAAATCATCGAATGGCTGCTCCCGCCTGGGTGAGGCGGAAGGGAGTGTCAGACTCTTACTGACTAAAAACCACCCCGTTCCTTCTCCTGCACGTCGAGCCGGAGCCCCGGTTACCCGTTAGGTTCTCCGCGACTAAGAGATGGTTTAGGAATGGTTGATACAAGCGGGCATTAGTGAAGATAATGTCAGTCATTTAACAAGATAGATGAATAGATGAATAAACATAGTTGAAGTTCAAAGAAGTTTGCAATGATTAATCATACGCTATGAAAACTGCAGAACATTTCCACCATCGCGGTCTGCAGTTTCTGAGCAACCCTCGTGGGATACACGCGACGTTAATTATAAATAACATGTGCCTAATGCTTATGTGATCCAGTCTATGTCACATATTCGTTGTATTGTCATTATTACCAGTCCAAGCCGAAAGCTAAAAATGCATTTTCATTACCTATCAAAATGAACAATTAACTGCATCATACATATTCAGCTTCTATATTCTAATATTCATATTATACTTACGAACCAGCTGTAAGATCAAATATATTTAAAAAAGAGATAGGTCCAACTCCTGCCCTCTAGCGCACAGAGCTTGAACTACCAAAGGTAAGTATCATGTTACTGAGCAGTCAATTGGCGAACGTTCCACAGCTACAGTGAGGTTCTTAACGCTAGACTAACGCCATCTGGTACCGTTAAAGTACTTACCGCTTTCCTTCTTTCAGCGCCCTCTATGGGCAATGTCTGACCCGGCACGGAGGCTCGTCCGCGGAACATCTCCATCACTTTTGCCATAGCACTGGGACGGCGTGTCGACGCCGCAGTTATTGTGTGGTAATACTGTGGAGGAGAGAAAAATGTTTGGAAATTAAAAGTATATGCTTTATCTTATACTACTTTAAAAAATATGCATACATTCTGCAAACGAAATAAGATATCGTTGCCTTTAGTTGTCATCTTCAACTTATTGCTACAAAGCCATAATAACAAACATGTAATAACTGTGGAAAGAAATCACAATATTCGAGGTCAATAGCCGACCAAAGCAGTAATTATAAGAACTGTAAGTGTAATTAAAACCCGAACTATCCATAATATTTAGATAATATCAATTCCATAACAATATTAAAAGTCCGCCGTCATACGTATACTTATGAAACCACTAACAAATTGACCATTGAAGCTGATAGTTTCAATGTTTAGAACAAAAAATAAATAGATTGATAGGCCACGTGTTAACCTATTTCTTTCAATTGACACCCATAACTAACAAGAAGCTACTAGCAATTGATACGCCACATTTTTCGTTAATGGCTGACGAAAAATATCATATTGAATACTTACATACTCTGTGTTATGTATGAGCTATGAATGTGTTGTTTTTGTAATAAAGATGAATTATGATTTGTGAGCCAGATCCGATATAGTCATGTTTTTATTACATTGAAATATACTACATAACATCACGCCTTTTATCCCGGAAGGAGTAGGCAGATGTGCACATTACAACGCCACTGTACAATGTAACACCTACTATTCACTATTTATGTTAGTCGTCTCATGTAAGAGGGAGTGAACCTATTGCCATATACCGGGCACAATTCCAGACTCCGTGCTACGACTGAGAATTTAAAAAATCCCAGTAATAAATTGGCCCACCCGGGGGAATCGAATGAAATATACTAACTATTATTTTTATTCAAAGTTAATGGCTAAAAAATAAATTGCCTAATGATTTTATGCAGGCTTTTCTTCTTATGTTGGTTATTTTCATCCTGCTGGCAACAATTAGTTGAAATGACGTAACAAATTAATCTACACTACATTCATAAGTAAATACTGTATTTCATTTTGATTATAAAGGATTTGCGAAACCCAAAAAGCCTTAATCGAACCCCATGCCTGGCAGCTGCATTTGCATCCATTCTGAACTAATAAGGTAATTATTCTATCACATAATATACTTCTTGTATAATATTTCACCACTTACCCTCGTGTCACTACCAGGGTGTGGATGTGCTGATCCATCCTTAGCCTTCAGCACAGGAGTAGCTAATGCTTGCTCCACCTTCGGAGCTTCCGGCTTCGCAGGCTCTTTGGCAGGCGCGTTTGATTTGGTCATGTTCTGGAAAAGTACATCGAACGTTATAGACTATTAACAATCTCCACGATAGAATAAAGGGCTATACAGATCTTTTTTTACTTCAATAGGGCTGCCGAATACGTTGATTCATTTTATTCATCCAGTTTGTTGAAGGTCTCTTTCTTTAACCTAAATAACATCTATACAGATAAATAAAATCGGAGTGTCGGTTCGTAATATTAAAATAAACGCTTTTTACTACATGCATATGAATATGAATATACATACGATACTACCAAAATATTTTTTTTACAATTTTTGTCTGTCTGTTGGTACTGGCTAATCTCTGGAATGGCTCCACCGATTTTGTAAGAGTTTTATTGGCAGGTAGCTGATGTACTAAGGAGTAACATAGGCTACTTTATTTTGGAAAATAGAAACAAAAAAGTTATGTTTTTACATTTATATTCTACACGGACAAAGTCGCGGGCAACAAACAGCTAGTAATTAATATAAGTAACCATATGCGATTGCACTATTTCCTCAACACCTTATCCTTCCAATTATTAAAAGGAATTTTCCAACTAGCCCTCACACTTTACATCAATTTATTGAAAATATATTAACTCTATTCGCGTATTCTAATAGCTCCATTTAATAACGCCCTTTCAGTACAAAACTGTTCTAAATAGGATCATTCACATAACAATTGTATTGATAACACAGTGTCAATTATGTATCGCGCAATCTGTACCTATGTACTTAACATGAGTACTGGAAATAGATTTAGCGAAATGACATCATCACATAGTTGCTTCGGTCTTCATTCACAGGAAAAACGGTTAAATGTGTGAATGTGGTCTGTTGTTACTTTTGTGCCATTAAGTACATAACGCGAACTATGTATAATGAAAACAACTAAGTTTGTTTGTTATTGATTTGTGAACAAAAAAACTAAACACGCCAAAAAATGATGATATTCCGCATATAGGGACAACTTCGTGGATAGTATTTAATTGGGAAAGGGGTTAAAAATCACAATACATCGCCACGGGGAGGTGGTGTCGTGATTTTGGAGACATTTTTTCAATTTTTTGGGGACAATGCAGTTCAATGAAAGAAGCTGATAATGATGATGAACTGTAATTTATGTAGAACGAGTTTATTTTCCTAATACACGTAGAAGAAACAATGAAGAATATAAAAACCTGCACATCATAGGTACCATCCTGGATTTCAAAAGTTAAAGATCAAGCCAAGTAGGATTATAATAATTATGGGAACCTCAAATTTTAAGTTGAAAACAACTGACCTGCACAGCAGCCATCACTTGTTGCATAATCGAGGGTTGTTTCTTGGCTTCTCCTCGTGGCGTTTTGGACTTCAGTATATCAAACAGCGCTGGCCGCCTGCTCACCCCGGAGGTTCCTAGAAAGATTGAAATGTTACGAAATAAGTAATCATCTAGTAAGAACAAAGAGAAATAGAATTATTCATGCTCTGCTGCCCCCAACCCCAGATTGATAGTGTCCATGGGCAACGCTGGCAACGATTGCTTAACCAACAGGGGTACCGTTTGCTCGTTTACCGCCCTATTTCATATCTCCCTATCAGCGTATACTGGAAGAAAACCTTCTAAATTCCATGTAGGCGAAGCTACTAACGGAAAGTTAGTATAGTATAAAAATATAATAACTTATTTTCTTACCATGAATGGTCTGCTGATACATAGGATGTGCCTGGCCGTCATCGCTAGAGCTTCTGCGCTTACGCTCGCCCACAGATTGTGTGCTTCTCGTAATTGCTGCATCTAAGCGTTGTTCTGTAACGTATAAAATTACTGATGAGTAAAACACGGATCTTGTATGACTGAGATCAGAACTAGTCCGAGTTGAGAACTTGAGATTAGTTGTCGATGAAACACGATCACGTGTATTTCTAAACGTCAAAACATACATAATAATAATTATTAGTTGGATGGTACTCTCTGCCAATCTTGATGGTTGTAATTAGTCAGCTAAGGTAAATGGATTTACTGTACAAATGGAACTTGTCAGCAACCAAATAATTGTACCTACTTTAACAGTACAGATATGTTATTAAAAAAGTAAGGAAAAAGAGTAACCAACTTAACTGTCAGCATGAGTCATCTGCATACAGTCAAGAGCTCATGCCTCTCCGGAATCTGACATTTATTGCAATCGTTACAGACAAGCGCAGTTTTTAAGGAAAATTGTATTAGTTTCCTAAATTAAAATGTTTAGCGACAGAAAAAAGATTAAAACAGACGGCTTAGTAAACGAAGTGCATAGCGGTGCCCTTAACCAAAAACTATGTAGGAATTGCTGGCACGCAGCTGGTTCTAACCGAAATGCATTCATAAATCATAATCAACAGCCAAATAAGGAGACGCGATAATACATTCAAACATTGTATGAGTATCTGTGTCAGAATCTACATATATATCGACAGCGGTCAAAACGGTTTCCATTGATGCACGTCACTCATTATTACGCCTACCAACGTTACACCTTCCTGATTTCTACCAGAATAACATGATTACAGTCCGCCATTGTCTGTCATTTCAAGTAAGTATTCTAAATTGCCTAATGCGATATGAAGAAAAGAAATAAAACAATGGCAATATAAAAGAGTTTGGATAAACATGACTACAAAACCGCACCTATTTTACGTATACTAAGATCATTTTGAAATTTCACCTGCAAAAAAAGCGGTGTCCTAAAAAGCAACCCTTAGAACTTTTTTAATGATCGGAATTATTTGTGACTCGATTCTTCACCACGTGCCTAGCTGCAGACTAAGCTGCCTACAACTACGGTCTCTAATGCCTAATTGAATATGGTACCGTTAAGCCTTTTCAAGGTCACGTGTAGCCGGCTTGTGTTGTTACACTTATAGAAATTACGCACTTCTGGCGAAACTACAACTACTAGGAATGCAGCGACACTTTATAGAACAGACCTAAATACACGTAATTTTAGAAAACATTGTTAGAAGTAAATAAATGTATATATTATAATACATGATCGTGTACATGACTGAATGAATGCAATCGAAACTATCAAACGACCCTTCGCAACACGGAGACATCGTAAACAAGATTACAGCAATAATTCTTGAACAGACAGCGCATTTCTGTTTACCTAGACATATAGATTACAATAAAGTGTGACTGGAAATACATTTGTTTTTAAATGTTACAAGTAATTAATTGCTTGTGACCAACAATGTTTTATTAAAAGCATTGTTTCAGGTATTAATGGCTGAGCTATAATGGAGTCGAAGTATTTAAGTGAGCATAGAAACGTTATGCATTATGTATTGTGCGCGGTGTGGTGTGGCAAATTCCGTGAGACTTACACATTCATAACGCACAGATTAATGAAACTCTATCATTGTTTAACACCTGGAACAGTTCTAGTAATTAAATATAACAAGCTCCGGGACTAGCGTTCACGTGGCTTTCATCTACAACATATCGCTGTACTAAATCATGTCTAAATTTCAGTAAAAAGTTGTTTTATCGCGCGTAGTCAAACATCGGTATGATAATGTTCGCTACTTATGCTGTAACCACAGCTAACTCAAGGCCAGCGTATGCTGTTTTGCATGTAAGTGTAACAGATTCATATTGTAGTAGAATCTGCGTACTGCATTAATTTAATTTTCCATATTTTCTCAGAGTTTCCACATGTTGCTGTCAACTGCGACAAATTATATTATAATGTCAAGAATTGCTAAACATAATGTTTTAATGAGGTGTGTAGTTTCTTCAATTTTGTGTGACGTTCCAATAATAGACTCGCTAACTATACAAATAGATTCTAAAAGGAGATGAGATTTTCGTACTTGTTCCGAAAATGGGTAATGGTTCGTTTAGCAACAAAGGCTATAAATATATTACTTACATAACCTTTGTTTTTGTAGCAATTTTTACCTTTAATGTTTGAACTCATAATGTAGTAAATTTCAGCTTAATAAGTTCAAAACTAATTTACTGCTGCAAAGTTTGATACTCGTAATTTTACTATAGTAAACTATTTCCAATTATGCCTTTTATTTACAAATCTGACAGTTTTTAATTTAGGACGAAGATACATTTGGTTTAGACAGTAGTACCTAGTTTTAGACCTCTCCAACAATATCTTGTACTCGTAAGAGTTTGGGTTTCCCATAGTTACAAACAGGTCAAATTACAAAGAGAATATTTATTTGTGCATGTCTGCACTCGCCGGGAACTTGCGCTACGGATAAAAATAATTACAGCAGTGCATTTAATGCGTACCAGCATACTTATAGGTACCTACTATCTCTAATAAATCATACTACTGAGTTCTCCGACAAACAGGTAAAATTATGGACTCTCGTCAAACATTGTTTGCCTTCACTACACAAAGTTCCTTTTTCAAGCAGCATAGTAAAACAGATACTTATAACATTTTTATGTTCATAATATTTATGTTGGTCATTCAACAGTTTCATATATCTCTCAATGCAAAGAAATTTCATATAGACGAACTACAATAAATAGCCACAATGCTGAACTCGGTAAGAGTCTCGCGTTAACATCGACCCTTACGACTAGCTAGACGGTTGGCCAGTAGCCAGCACGGGCATACGACTCAAATATGTAGGCGCACTCTGGCAAACATTGCGGGATCCACTATATTTTTCATCGATAGTAAATATATATTTACTAACTGAGAGTTACATAATCTAAAAGTTTATTGGACAACACAATTAGCATAAACACATCGTAAGATTTTGGCAGCCAGGTATTTTACAAGTAGGTGAGGCCAGATAATGCTAATGACAGATAAAACTTACCGTAGCAACTACTATCATAACATTAATGGTGTCATGATAGTTGCGTGCTGGACCTACGCCACTAGATATCGCGCTACCAATTTAGCAATAGCGAAGGAGGTGTTTTGATTGCCATTTTTCCATGTACTATTATTTACATGTAATTGCACTTACCCCGTTTCTGTCTCCTGTCGTCGCTACTGCGACGGACATCTTTTTCTTTCCGACTCGTTGTCTTCTTTGTGGGTTCTTTTTGTTTAGTCCCAGTTGCAGAACTCCAAGTACCAGAACGTGCCCTAACTTGTTCTGTATTCTTTGCAGACACCTTAGCTACATCCTCAGTTTTCTTTGACGTGTCAGCTGAAACAACCGCAGGTTCTTCCTTCGGAGTTGCCTGCAACCACACAAATTAATATGATAAATTGTATGTTTCGGTTAGAATACTGAGTCTTATTTGTACCATTTAGTACTTAATACTTACTTTTTCTTCAGTCCGTTTAACCCAAATATCTTCGGTACTGTCAGGTACACCATCAACTGTAGATCTAATTTCAATTAAACTACTATCAAAATAATGTTTGTCAAGGTGGAGATTCTGTCCTGCAAAAATGGAACGTACGTTTGGGCGCTGCTCTTCTGCACCTTTGGTGCCAAAGTGAACAGTATGTGCGTTGTGAACATGCGACCGCAGAGCCCGTTCTACAGAAGGCGGCGCCGTTGGTGGTTCCGTTGTTGTCACGAGAAATTTGTGGCGAGCTCCCATTACTGTCCTTTTCGGGGGTTCCTGTCCGTCAGTGGCCACATGGCTCATATTAGAGGTCACCTCACTGACGACATTAGCATTCTGATCTTCTGCTTCTGTTGTACTGGTGTGCCTGGCAGTGTTGCTTCGTCTACTATTAGAAAGTATTTCTTCGTTAATTCCAGCCCAGATATTAGAGGAAAGCAGATCGACATCTTTTTTCTCATCATCTTCATCTTCCTCACGACATTGAGATAACCTTCGACGTTCCGGAAATGGAAATGGAGAATTTGAATTCCGGCTGGATAAATTATTGCAATGATTCATAAAATAGTGTTGGAAAAAACTATCTGTTTCTGGTGTATCATTATTGTCGCCTTGGATTATATCCTTGAGAGCGGCTAAGGAGGTGATGGTGTTGTAGTTTATAGCATTAACTAAGTCTTCGCTATCGGTGGAGCTGGCCGAGACGCTGCCACCCCCGTCGTCCTCGGCCAGCTTGCTCATTTTTTCACATACATCGTCTAAAGTCGTGACTTTGTCACTTTCTTGTGCTTCAGTTTTTTTCTTCTTCTCATTTTTACGTCCACTCTTCTTTGCTTTTACATTTGAGGTCGCTTTTTTTTCGGTATCCATTGAACAGCATGCGTGCCCTTATTGATTGGCCAAATTTACGATATTTATAACAGCGGCAATTTTCTTAAGGCACTTACTAAACTTACACAGTTAATTCACAATAAGTCACATGATAGAATAATTTTATTGTCACAAATTAAGTAATATCGTAACAAGTTTCATGGCTCCCGTCACCGAACATAGGGCATATCGTTGTCGTTTGATTCCGAACTATGTCCAAGGAACATTCTACGAATCTGGAAGAAATAAATACAATGTTAAAACTAGTCAGAACACAGCGCAATAAGTAAGTTTTAGTTAGTGAATGAATAATTTTAACCGCAAATGGTTTTTACTCAAAATGTATTAACAAGTCTGTTGGTCACCTGTAGTCTTGGAAATATTTAAAAATACCTATTTAGACTGGACACGCTACCTTTGCTAATTTATATGTGACCTGCAATAAAAATTCTGGATACACATAAAATAAATATAGAGCTTTTGCACGAAGTGTAAAAAACAAACACATTCAAAGGAACAATTCGATAGTCATTAAAATGCAAATGGCATTCTACAAATATGTATGCAGGGATAATTTATTCGCAATACCTACCACTTCACTTCGTTATCTAATCAAAAATTGTTATAACAACATACGAAGTTTACGGCGATGAGTAAAGAGTATGATTTGTTAAATCTCTATTCAAGTGTCTACAATGAAATTACATATCGTCACAGATATGTTATTCTATAGCTAGATGATCTCATAATAATTTCAAATATATTGTACCTATGATAGACGTAATACATGGGTACTCTTTGGAATCATACAAATACTCCTAAGTAGTTGGTTGCTAAGGATAACATACATAGATGTAAGTACATGTTTAAATACATAAGTACAACATTAATAAAAATTTCTGACTAAACAAATAGGCAACACAGCTGGTAATTCACGAATTTTATTTATACAGTGCTATAACCTCAGACAATATTAAAAGACATTCAACAAGTGACGACCAGTCAATTCAGTACATGGAAACAGATGATTGATATTATTATTACTGTAATTGATTGAGAATGTGAATAACAAGGAAGTTACTATTGACGCATTGACGTTTGAGTACGATAGATTGACAGGACTAATTACAAGTACGATATCGGTTCGACTTAGCAATTGAAACTGGACACTAAAACAGTTGACTATTTAATCATCATCAACAACGGTTAAAACTTAGTTTCTTATCCTATCCGTGATTTGAAGCCCATAAGATGAAAATATCGAAGAAGTTTTATGGTATCTTCAAATCGTTGTTCTCACTCAATTCGCAGTGATAATGCCAATCAAATAATAAGTATACAAACACTACAAGCACATTGTAGAACCGAACAGCATCCATAAAGTAATTAGACGAGATCAAAAAGTCATCACATGACATCTCGACGTTCAGTTTTAATAGACGCACGATGGATGACCGTGTACCGAATAATAATAGGCCCAGAAGTACTTACGTAGGTACTTTGTAACAATATTTTTGTCATAGCATCTTCTACATTTTTAGGATAGGTAGCTGGTTAATGAAGCAACAGCTAGATGAAGCAATGGCCGTCGCAGAAGCTGTTATCTCGGCCTCTGTTCTAAACCTACATCTACTTACGCACACTCCCAAATAAACAGCTGCATTACGCTGTTGATTACAAATGGCTCAATATTGAGATCCTAGTGACCTTGAGTCATGCTATAAATGGATTGTATACTGCTAATTAAATAGGTGAATAGCGGTGCACGGAGAACAATGTGCGCAAAGCGGCAGCACAATATTTCACGACGTGCGAATAACAGTGGTAATGGGTTACAGACAGATTGTATACATAATATATCAGGTAAACGAGCAACAATTAACCCGTATTTTAATAAGATGTTAGGTACTTAGGTACCTCGCACAGGTAAAAACGATTCCAAAACTTTTATCAACATTATAATGTAGCTGAGTACAGGCTCAAGACCCACTTGTTTACAAAACAGTATTCTTGACGATTAAATTAATTTTACTAGTCAAGCCATGTTGAGATTAATGAACGATCGATGCTAATGCGGGTGCGCAAGGACGCAGTCACAAAGTGCATAACAACTAGCAAGCAAAGGTACTCAGTGTTACGCCTAGGTAAATTAATTGAGAATGTAATCCATGAAGGTTTTAGGAGTGGATTAAAATTAGTTAGATGTTTGCACAGAACTATTTAATACTTGTTGAACCTAGCCCAGAGGGAAATAGTGTCACCTCCAGGTAGCATATGGTAGAGAGTAGGTGGAGCATAACCATGAAAAATGTCAACCTTAACAAAGTTGTGGCCAGCAAACACCCCAAAATCAAAGCAAGGAAGAAACTCAATTGTCCTATAATCGATTTGAAAAGGGAAATGTGTTTGATTTTACTCTATTTAGAGTTTAACCCCGATTAACTATTGGTTGCGAATTACATATTAGCTAGCTATCGTCTGCCATAATTAATATTCAGACAATAGAATCTAAACAAACACATCTACGTAACGAGCACGAGTAGGTAAGTAAATGACGTCACTTCGCTAGCAAATACTTATGTTCTTCTCAATAAGCCAATTATAAAACGTTAAATACTTCAAATCCAATTACATTATCTTCATATATAGTAATTTTTTTTGTTGTAGCTGCATCGTTATGGTATAAGAAACTGGTGACCTTTTAAAGTACCTACAAATAAATAAATAATTAACCTAACTCAAAAATAATTATAGATTCAAACATATTTCATATGTTCTCATCTGACCAAAAGATCCACAGGAAATCAAAGAAAAAATTTTATCCAATACCTCATGTATATATGCGAAAGAGTGTTTGGTTAACTTTTTGAGGCTAGACAGAGAAATAAGTTATTGTTTGTGGACCCAGAAACAAATACTATAATAGGAAAAATTAGAGCAAACTAAGTAGTTATCTACTTATCTAGATATCAAAGTCTGCACACAACATATGGTTTGTGTCAATTAACTTATCATAGAATCAATGTGAACAACACAATGCGTGACTTACAAATAAACGAACAGACTTGATTTCTCATTTCACAGTTTCATTGTAGAAAACGTATATTATTTTATAATACGTTTCTGCGTGCGTGCAAATTGAACAGTATAATTAATTGTGTGTACAAAACAAATATGTTGAATACATTATAGAATCTATGTACACGATAGCGCTTAAAAATTCTGGCGAGCGCAATTAAATGTTCAATAATGCCCATATTTTCGTACAGTAACACGCGGGCACGCCCAATAATTATCACGTTACAGTTTAATTACAGTTTAAAATCGCTATATTTACCCGTCGGCAGTATCCCTGCAGTAGTTATTTGATTTCTATTATTAAAATGATATCAAAGCGAACAACGCGAAAATAAATGGCCGTCCAGGAAAGTTGAAAGTAGTGGCTATTTTGTCAAGCAGTGTAATAGAACAGACAATGCAAAGACCCCTGATGCCCGCTGACCGTGAACGAAAAGGGTTTATTGTTGCTAACAGCCAGTGCGAACAAAAGGCACATAACCGAGGTATATTCTCTAATGCCACATATGAAACACGTGTGAGCACTAAGATCAAGTTACTTTCAAATACCCTGGCCGCGTTAAAAGCTGAATGTAAAATTATCTACAGTTCTAGCTGTACCTAATAACCTAACCGTTGTATAGGCACCAGCCGGATTAAAGTATTATCTGTTACCGGTTACATGACATATGTACCTACCTAATGTAGGTACAACTTTACCTTCTCTCTTACCCTCTCCTGGCCCTCAGATTAATGGCATTACGGGGCCCTGGGTGGGTGAGACATTTGAAACCAGCAAAACTTTAGGTAATAATGACCTAAAGGCAAAAGGCCCAAGCGCATAGTTGGAGGTCGGCCTGCAATTTTTTTAATTCTATATATTCTTTTGTCAAGTACAATGTCTAGTATATAATCATTTTTTATTAGTCAGAGGTAATTAGTTACAGAACCTAATGCTACATTTACGTGGTACACCATCTTTATGGCGTATAAACAATAGTCCTCATTGCCACGCAAAAGTTAAGTTGGGTCCATAGAGACCAGCCATTAGCCTCCACGTAGCCTTGTATCAGCAACGTGACCAATCCCAAGGAATGCCATAGTTACCTGATATTATTCTATCATGGCCGAATGCAACTAACTACTTAAATATGAGTTATGAATTAATATTCAGTCAATTAAACAACACGATACATTTCAATTAATTCATAGAGTGACAACTACTATCATTTACTTGGGTACTTGCTTGGGTAGCACCGGCTAGTAAATACGCAATACTGCATACAGATAATAATCTCAGGCATTATAATGCTTAACACTTTTATTCACAGCGCACTGCTAGATAACTAACTATTCCAAAATTTATATGCATAACTTACAAAGATAGTATGTTTGTGACGTTACACAAGGACATAAAATGGATCCAAATTGTAGGGCTTGAATAGACATAAGTTCTACAAACTAAATATCAGCCATTTCAAGGTTGCCCATTCATTACTGGACATCTTATATACCAATCATGCTGTCAATAAAGGTTTCTCAAATATCATTTCAACGACATGCGGCATACTTATACAAAAACGATTAAGAGGATGATAGTCATTAAAACGTCATCTCCTGACGTTTTTACAGCGCGCTCCGCATCTATTGAACACCATATTATCATTATGAAAGAAGCTCATATATACTCATTATGCGCGCATTACGCAGAATACAGAGTACCTACTTATTCATTTTATTTTATAATAAAAATAAGTACTTTCTGAGGAAATGGGAACATTCTCCAGTTTATTGTTTTGATGAAAATATTAACAATAACAAAATGGACATTTACCTTAAATCGAATACTGATCTAATCGAATTAAAAAGTTTTGGATAAAGTGGACCGAAAAATCGGCACGCACAATAGGTAAGCGGCACAGTTGCCGCATTAGCTGGGGACCTGGCAAATGGGGACTAAGTTGTTGTCAACAACATAAACAATGAGAAATTACTTGCGCCTAATACATTTCGCAACTGCTACTGCCAAATCTTAACGACATCAGTGTCTATAAATATATACCTACACCTATGTATTAAAATCCCACCTACTGCTCATACAACAACACTCTGCAAACAAAAACAAGCGTGTCCGTCTATATATATAATTATAGTCGTGAAGTCGTCATATATTTGTTTACACACATACCAATCACATTGGAAATGTCAATTTTAAAAGATATGATAATAAAATTGTTGGCCATCACTTCACCATCGTGGCATCAACATCACTTCATCATCAATTAATTTTATCTCTTGCGCCCGATTACTGAAAGGCTATATTAAATTTTAAGTTTTAAATATTGTGTCATTTCTTTTATTTTCCAAAGAATTTGTAATGACAGAACTATAACTATACTTAAGCGCATTACTTAAATTGAGTGTCGTCTGAGCATTAGATACTTTCTATGGTTGTCACCTAACGGAGAGCAAGTTCGGGGTAGTTTTTAGTATTCCAAAAAAGGAGTATTCCAAATTATTTTTGAAGAAACGAATGAATATCAGTCCTAGTCACTACTTACTATAAAAACCCCGTCGAAATGATCATTATTATTGCGTTGACTCAACAGGAAAGTAGTTACCAAACTAAATGTTTGTGTGGAGCGGAAAAACTCCTATACGGTTAAAGATTAAAATCGGCCGTGAAAATTATCTCATTACTAGTCGTAGGGCGCTCAAAACAGAAAGGTGTTAAACATCTGTGAATTCCTACCGAGATATGATTGTCATTTGGCAACGATTACCAGCGTAATAGATAGTGAAAACTGAAAGGTTTGCTAATCCTACGCTATTTTCTAAATATCATAACTACGACACCCAAATCGCCCAGCAAATGGAACATAAATTAAGTGTATGGCAACATAATAAAGTAAACGAAGTAAATAATTATGAAGCCAGTTGCGATTACAGTTATACATTAAGTTGAAGTATTCAAATAGTATCTAAGTACATTACGCGTAATATTTCGTACCAAGTAGTTGCCGTGATTTTGCCAATAATTTAGTATGACATCATATTGAATAGGCGAATAGCTTTTTCTATCTGTGTAAAATTCTTATCATGAATTGTTTGAATGACTAGGTACGTAACTAGAAAACGTTTCCTATGGTTATATCTAGGCTTTTCGAAATCAGATTACACATGTTTATCTAATCAAAATCATTATACAACTAATGTCTTTGTTTTTAGATTTCTCTGTACAACTCCGAAAAGAACAAACAATAGGTTGTTTGCTCTTTCTTTGAACCAGAGGTCTAAAAAAATTAAATGGAACAAAGTTTATCTTATCAACCGAAATATTTTAAAATACTTCATGCAATGTGCTTAACGCTTACTTGGTGTAGTTATTTCAACTGGTGTGACATTGATTACATGTCCTAGTTCCAGCAGTGAGAACGCCAAGAACACCTAAAGTTAGCTTTTAGTTATATTATTCGGTTATGTTCAATTAGTCATGATTATAATTAAGTAATGTTGTATTTTCGCAAGTTAACTATCATGAATTCTGAAGCTGCCTCGCCTTCTAACCCACAGTTATCGTAACAAAGCCAAGGCGAGGCAAATTAAAACCTCGATGCTTCGCGCAAACGATAACAGACGTTTCGCGAGGTCGTACAGTGTAGATCCGGCTAATCGTATGTGATGCCCACACGGAGTGACGTCACATGGGTCTCACAACGATGATTATGCTACTTTAGCTTACATCTTTACTGGCGTAAATTTATTTGCTACACGCATTGTTGTTGGAGCAATAAACCGTAATACGCCGACACAATCATGCAGTTATAATGCGAATTGAAGCAAGCCGTACGGAATAGCGTTTTGTCCAGGTAATCTTGATCTAACTATGGACTAGTTCTTTTTTTCTCATGCTTGGAAGTAACAATACTAGATGTTATGAAATGATGACAACATAAATTGATAATTTTACGAAAAGATGATTAATTTTACTGATTGCTTTTAAAATAGGAAACTAAACAGAGCTCTAATGGTTACCATGATGTTATACTAGGAGGTTGGACAATTTTAAGTATGGTACTTTAGTTGTGTGTGTCCTATTATATTTTACAGTTACTATGTATGATGAAGTTGTTGACTCATTTGTATAAATGTTTTATCAGTTGTAAGTAATAATATCATAATTCATAATATTATTATGACTGATTTGGAATGTAGTTATTTTGATTCTAGATCTTTGTAAATTATTTCTTTTTTTAATGAAATGGGAGGCAAATAAGCAGAACTTTATCAAACCTTTCTAAATAATATTTTAATTTGTCTGTTGACAACATTACTTGATAAATTCATAATATTTTGACAAGTAAATTAAATTTTTATGAGTATTTTTAAACTAATAATACACTTAATTAATTTTTAGAACTTTACTTTCCCTGAAAAACAAACAGAATTACCTAGGTACATGTTACATTATTGTCTCTCAATAAGTATATATAAAATCAACTAAATGAATTCATATCTAAAAGAAAAAAAAAGAAGGTAGCTACTTAATAGTTATAATAAATAATTAAAACTGTTGACTAAACTTGTGAAATTACATAGTTACAATAATCTTGTAACATAAATAATATCATTCAAAGTTATTTATTATCATTCAAAGTTATTCATATACCAAGGAAAGCTGACATATTTATTTAAACACCGCAATGATCATCAAACATTCATTTAGACAATCTATTGTCCGATGTAATAAATACATAGTACCTTCATTTCATTTTATTCAAATTATTACCACAAGGTTTCATTCCAAAGCTAAATAATCACTTGCCAGTCATTTTACTTTAATTTATAATGACAATGTGTTTCTTTTAGAATTACTTCACTTGATATTTTGTTTGCTTAATCTTTCCCTACATTGGCATAACTCTCTTGAAGATTTAAAATTAGTATCACTGCTAGGTCTTCTGTCATCTAATAACTGCTGACCAATCCCCTTTTAATAGCTTTAGCGATGAAACAAGCCAATAGGGTTGTGTTTACAGTACAGTGGTACCTTTACCTGACTTTATAAGGACTTTGCTAACACAAAACTATAGAGGGTAGGTGTCACTGAAAGTTGGTGTGAATCTAATAAAATAAATTTTTAATGTCTGCCATTATAAGAGCACTAGCATTTAATAATTTTAAACAGTAAGCACTGATAAAGATTGAAAATAAAAGAAATTGATTTATGTTAGTAACTTTTTACAATATAACTTAGAATCTCGGTTAACATGTTAACTTTTAAGTGTGAGGTTACTAATAAAAATCCAGCTTTCCAGTGAAAGTAATAATTTTACAGCTCTGTCATCCAAATCTACTACTTCAAACTTGGTAAAATTGTTGATGATTTTTACCTACTTTAAAAAAAAATAGATTCAAACGTGCTTTTGTAAAATAATTATGCTCTACTCACCAAGTTTATACACCAAATGGGGTAAACTTCACTAATGGACGTTACTATTCATACCCACATTCAGCAGAATTTGAAATGTTATCTAAACCCTAATGTGGGTACCTGTTCAACTTGAAAAAACAAGAATATTATGGTAACACTTGTTGCATCTGTAGGTAAAATAGGGATGTCCTGCCAAAATATTATTATATCGAAATTATAACGAAAGACTATCGTTATAGGCCTATAAAATTATTTTATCCAAGACTACGCAAGCGACTTACAGAATAAACGAAGGAGACGTGACCAAATAACAACGAAACAAACCGTAAACACATCAATAACACACACTGCACTTAGTTCATAAAATTAACTGTCCCATCACAAAAAAAAATCCATTTATCTTTATAAATTACTTCGATATTTTATTGAGAATTTTCACAGGTAATAATTATCGAGTTTTGTAATATTCTCCTACTCGATCGAAACACTTCATTTTCTTTTGACAACTAAAAATCCACAGACAATTTATAAAAACATGATCAGACGTTGCAAATGGTCGGATACGCACACAACACGAGATGGCGAAACAGATAATGTTACTTCAAAAAGTCGTCGTAATATTGTCTATTCCACAATTTCCACATACACAAAGCTAGTAAAAACAAAACTCGTGTTTTTATGAGGCGTCTCCGATAAACATATTACAGTTTATAGGGTGCGGCACACCTCCAAACACGCAGCAGTAATTTCGTTATACCACTTATTATATTTTAATATGTGCATCTCTGCCTTACCCGTCAGGGAATGTAAGACGTGATTTTATGAATATGTTATTAGATTTATTTACTAATGTTGGCCACTCTAAAGAAATTTTCGATTGTTTACAGATTATTTACTAAAACAAAAGCTCTGATTCCCTCTAGTCCTGTATGACGTCAGTTCTAGTGGAACCCAAAAACCACTACAATAATACTAAATTCAGTAGATTTATGTGGATTTTGATACTAAACACGCTAATATTAAAAATGAGAAAGTTTCTTTGATTGTTTGTTTGTCCGTCAATCATGCTGAAACTACTGAACGGATTTTGATGAAATTTGGTAGGGGATAGAATACTTTTTATCCCCAATAAATGCTCCCATGGGATAAATTGAAGATGCCGCCGAAGGTTTTTATAAAAAAACCGTTGCTCTTACCTACCTACCTTTATATGATATATACCCCCACGGGTGCGTGGACGACACCCATATTCATTGACGTTTTATATGAATTACTTTGATGATATTCACTGGTTTTATACTAGAGATAATTATAATTATGGAGGTAACAGTAGCCCTTTAAGTACGTTTACGTTTACTCATTAATTTATGGATAGTTGATATCAATTGGTAGGTAAGGTAAACATAGGTAAGGGAGACATGCATTTATGAATGAAAGTAGATATTACTTTAAATATAATGACTTTTATTTTGCTGATCCAATAAAGGAACTAGTAACTACTAAATAGTTAATACATTTTTGGTCAAGGAATAAAACACAGTCAACTTTTTATTATGAACTAATACCTACTTACAAATGCATAATTATCTAAAAATAGGTATTGATTGTATATAGGTATGTATGTAAAGATATAACATTATCTAAGCTTTTAGTGGATTGCTTAACATCACGGTAGGTTTCTGGATACTCTGGTAAGACAAGTTTTTCCTGAAAATATTAAAATTTACATTAATTTTCACTATTCAAGAGATTACAGTAATCTACAATAGGTTTTATTTCACTGAATTTACAGTCAAGCTGATTTTCTGGACGTCAGAATAAGACTGACGCCGATTACTGTCAAGCACCTACGATATATGTTGCAAAACTAACTAATTAGGCATTTTCTGTAAAAAAGAAAACCTCAAATAAGGAAATTTATTTGTTCATTGTTCATCTGCTCCCGGTGCTAATGGAGAGGTTCATATGCCAGTGCTGAGCCACATACATGCATATTGACTAGTCAGCGCTAACGATCAGCGTGTCTGTACAACCAGCCAAAACCCTGATATAATACAATACTGACCTGGGAATATATACTGACCTGTATTGTTTATATACACGAGCGAAGTGTATTTTGTGGACTACGTATATTGTTATAAATAGACACAGGCCAACTATGAATGAGGCTCCAAGGAGCGCCGGGAACTGTAACATAATAAAAATATTTAATACGATATAGAATGTACACAGTTAAAGTTATTAAAATTATCTCTACTATGAATTTAAAGCAATAGTACTGTCGATACTCGATAGCCGCCACCATGTAAAACTTTTGTATGGCTTTTAGTTCCCTGAATGATCGCTAGAGGCGCTATAAAGCTAGACATCCAAAAATTGTACCTTGTCAAAATAGAGTATCGATAACTACTATTGTTTTTTGTCTGATTTTTGAGTTACTGATGATATTCTAACAAAATGTTGTGACCCTCTACTGAAACGGCACTTTACTATCTTTGTGGTACCATGCTCCAATCAAAGTGGTAGAACAATACATTCAATACTTGAATTAATAGTGAAAGATCATAAGCATTCAAACAGCACAGCTTAGCAACCAACGAGTTGTTTTCCTTGCATATACCTAATATGACTAATATAGATATACATAAGTACTACTATGTTCATGCCTATATAATTATTGAGCATCAGAGCAGGAAAGATCAACACAAATATTATGTCTTGAGATAAATAACACTTTAGACACAAATATTGATATTCGATAACAAGACATTGTTTAGAATTGTTGTTGACATTCAACATTACCAAAATAGTATAATCTGTTTGTCAAATTACATACATAGTTACTTCTAATGGTACAAATGTAACAGGAGTAGTTGATTTACTGTACATATTATTTTACAAACATAAACAAGATATAAACTTAGCAAATATGTTTCAGTATAATATTTATAAGGCCCAGCGTCCACCAGAGCAAGAATGTGATTAGAACATCAGTCATATTTTTAATTTAAATAACCAATAGAATCTCTTAATCTCTTTATTCACACAATTCTTCTGCCAGCAGCCTCAATGGAGATCACTGAGAGTTTGTGTAATACACATTCTATGCTCCTCACTTCTCATAAGTGCTTTATTGTAATACGGGCCTAGCTAGCTTCAATACTATAGTGAAATTAGATTGTAGTAAATGGTATCATTTACAGTAACATCTCGAAGTAAGACACTTCAAATATGAAAACCTATTAGTTTGCTTTTAAATATTTACTTAACATAGCAAAATGGCTACATAACTAAGATTGTACACAAACTTACTAAAAACTACAGATCTAATTCTAGTGTTCTAAGAATATGCAAGTCAGATACATAGTTTATCAAGATCAGTTTACCTATTTTGAAACTTGAAGACCTGATATTAACAAGACTGAAAAATATTAAATTAATATTAATCACTATGGTAGGAAGTCAAGTGCTTAATCGCTTGGTTCAGTAACTGTTTGTTTTGATTTAAGAATCTATTTAACTCGTCGAGTACCGGTTTTGTAGACACAATTATAGAACAATAGGTTGCGGTCACCGGTGACCACTTCGTGTTTGACAGTTTAATTTCAATTTCATGCCACTCAGGATATGAATTAACAAGAATCTTACCTGTTTCTTACATTCTTCTTCCCAATTAACAGATATAAGGTTATCATACAGCTTCTTGAACCTTTCCAGCGGGCAGACTTCGCCACAGAATGGTATCTTGAGGATATATGGTTCAACAATCTCTGTTGAATTCCTATATGAGATCCTCACAAAGTGTTCTCCTGTTTTATCTGAAATTTAAATATAGTAAAATTAAAACCAGAGATACCATGTAATAAAACAATACCTTTCCTACAGTCAGGTAAAATTTTTAAATGTAATCTTTATGTCTCGTCGGCTTGTTAGTCAAGTGGTTGCAAGTACGACAACCTAGCAAAGGGTCTGGGATTAGATTCTTGGGCCGGACAAAGTAATATTGTTTTTTTTCCAAAATTTTTTGGTCTGGTTCTGATTCTTATCTGGTTTGCCATTATGCCCAGGATATGCGTACTATGGGGCTAACTGGTTTGCCCATGGGGCCAACAGGACATTCATAATATAACTAGAGAAAAGGGTGAGTTGTACACATTGCATATGTGGCATTTTGTGCACCACAGCCATTCCCTTTGGGGTAATAAAAAAAACAGCTGTCTCTTGATTACAATTACTTTCAATAACATAACTACTACTTACTTGCTTTCACTAGTTCAAGGAATACAGTTGACGTGTACACCGGGCAGTTTCCATCGTATAATCCTAAGGCATTGAGTATACTGCCCACAGTTAGGTCATGTCCACTGTACATAACCACCTTATGACTCTTCTTGTCACCAGACAAAACATCCGACATATGTGTCATTATATGTTTGAGCAATGGACCTACTTTCAGTCGGGAGAGAAGGGGAGATCCTGTTTCAGTCTTGAAGCTGTAATAAGAAAATATATTAAATTGTAAAGAGGAAATAAGGTACTTTTTTAATTAATTGGTGCCTCGCTCTACGATTTTCTCCTTTGTCGTGGGTGCATTTACAAACATACAAATTCACATGACACCCAGTGTCGGGATAACACTCTGTGTATCACACAGAGTTACGCCGTGTTACGGGGGAAACAAACCCGCAACACGTTGAACAGCAGTCGGAGGCTCAGCCTCCACATGAAAAGTCAATTGAATTAATTTTGAAAACATTACATGAATGGATGGTATATTTTTACTATCTACGAGTTGTGAACCATTTTTTACAATTCACCTCAGCCATAAAATGCACTCATAGACTTCCTACTGCAAGTCATCAACGTTGATATTGCATCAATTCGCTCGTAGCGAGTAGGGAGATTGGCGCCTTCCTTTCATTTAGTGATTAATTGCTTCCTGTATGTAGGTATCAGGACGCCTCGTATCTAGGGTTGGTGTGAAACCAGATAGATATAGATAGCAATGCACGAACACTATAGATAATTGGACGATTCCATGAGTACCTGCGCCGTTTACAGTGTCTAGTGATAGCAAAGTACCTATAATACATTTTGCCAGTGCCAACTCAACACCTGCAGTTTAACAGAGAGCAGGCAACAGCATTCTCTGATAAACCTAAATTGAGATATCCAACCTGCTTACCAAGCAAGCAGATTACGAGATTATGATTTTGAAATCCTCCACCGTAAAGGAAGAATAGTCCACCAGTGAACTTTCAAGAGCCATTGATGCTTAACGATGATGAATTTAACCTATTATGTATTAAAAAAAAGACACCAACCGAATTGAGAACCTCTTCCTTTTTAGGAAGTCGGTTAATAGTTATGGTAAAGTAAAGAAATCACAAACCTGTAACACGCGGGTTCGCGCATTTCATCAGGGTACACAGATTGAGTCCAATTTGGTAATGTAAAGTTGTAGAGAGTCTCTATGTATAATGTACTATAAATATCAACAATATCAT